TTTAAAATCATATTTAAAATGAAAAAGCATTTCCAGATATGCTTTTTTTTATTTTCGCAAAAGTTTATTTATCATATTTAAAATCATATTTAAAATGAAAAAGCATTTCCAGATATGCTTTTTTTTATTTTCGCAAAAGTTTATTTTTTCCCCTCCATGTCCCTTTAGGGGCTCCGTAGAGTCCTGATCTCAATCCAATTGAAAATCTTTGGGTAGAGCTGAAATCTGCCATTGGAGAAAGGAACCCTGCTAATGTTCAAGAGCTCGAGCAGATTGCAAAAGAAGAGCGGGAGAAAATGCCACCTGAGAAGTGCAAGAAGCTTATAGATGAATATAAGAAACGTTTGGAGGCTGTCATTTCTGCCAACCAAATATTAGGGAGGGGTGTCAATATTGGTGCACATGCTGGTTTTCTGTTTCGTCTTTTGGAATTAAAATATTTGTGTTGAAATGGTACCCGTCTTTCTTAAATTATTTTGGACCTTAAATTGAAAGATCATGCTGATATAACTTTTGAACATTTCCATTTATTTCTGATGAGTGAAGTTCACTCAGCTATGCCTAAGATGAAGGGGCGCCAATAATGGTGAGCAGGACTGTAGCTCTCAAAGACCGGACTTAAGCACCACTGCATTACAGTTTTAATATTTACTGTATTTGGTAATGAAATTATTCATATTTAACATCAGTGTTGAAAAACGCATTGAAGATTATCCCAGGTCAGCAATGTAATCTTAAGGTAGATGATTATGACGGATTTTAAAGGATTTCTATTACATCAGGCTGACGTATCTTTCATTCAAAGGTGGGCCGAGGCAGGGATCTTCTTCCAGCTTTGGAAAAAGCCAGAAACTCTGGACTGAAGTTGTCTCTGCACATGTCTGAAGTAGGTCTTCTCCTTAGATTTAGCTTTATTTAAACTCGATGTGAAACTCTCCTGTTATTGCAATAAATCTGGTTGCAGGTTCCCTCCCAGCGGGAAGAATCTGAGTTGCTGCTGAATCTTCCCCCCGACCGGATCGGCCACGGAACATTCCTGCATCCTGAAATGGGCGGTTCTCAGTCGCTGGTGGACCGAGTGGTGGATCGTAACATCCCTCTGGGTAAACCACCAAGATCCAGAGTGCAGAGAGCAGCTTTCGGCTCATTAATCCGATTTCCTTCTTTGCTTGTAGAGATTTGCTTGACATCGAACGTGAAAGGACAAACCGTGTCCAGTTACTCCCAACACCACTTCAAATACTGGTACCAGCTGGGACATCCCTGTGCTGTTTGTGTAAGTTTTACCTCCGGTGGATCTGAATCCAGTTAAACTATTTCATTTCAGTATATATTACTAATCTTTTACTCTTGGTTGACCTTGGTGAATAAAAATGTATT